ATCCTATTGCACGGAGGCAGTAGGTGGCAGTCCCATATTTGATGGCAATGCCTATCATCAAACTCAGAAGGGCAGGAGCGATCTGACCCTGAGCTCGGGGAGAAGCTGAAAGATGTGGCTAGCGATCAATCGTTGATAAACAAACAAACTTTACTAATTGTGGCGGCGGTTCAGCACAGCTGTTTGAAGGGGAGCGAGAGGTCTATGGAGGCAGACAGGAGGCAGAAAATGAAGTTTGAGGAGAGCAACATAGTTTCCAACGCTAGCGGCAGTTCGGAGGTAGAAAGTGCCGAGGAAGGGCAAGATAAGACGCGAGGGGAGCATGGAGGTGAGGAGGAGCATAAAGTGATTCTGAAGTTTAGGGAGGAAGGGGGAGTTGGGGCGGTGAGTCCAATAAGGTTGACAGCTGTGGTAAAAGAGTTGATTGGGGAAGTTGTCAATGCAAAAGTGTTAAGAGATGTGAGCTTGTTGGTGTTCTGTAAGGACATGGCGCAGAGGGAAAAAGCTCTCAGAGTGAAGCAAATAGGGAAGTGTAAGGTGGTGTCGAGCAGCTGGATTGATCAAGCAGGGAAGCAGTGGATTAAAGGGGTGATAACAGGAGTGCCTGTGAGTGTTAGTACTAAAGAGGTAAGGGACAATTTGAGAGGAGGTGGAGTTAGGGTAGATAGCCCGTCTATTGTTTTACACTTCAAGGATATTAGTTATTAGTTATTATGTGAGGGCTTACGTACCGAAACCTTTAAGATGTTATAACTGCCAGAGGTTTGGGCATGTGGCAACAGCCTGTAAAGAGAAAAAGAGGTGTGCCAGGTGTGGAGGAGAGCATGAGTATGGGAAGTGTGGAGATGATGTACAAACAAAGTGCTGCAGCTGTGGGGGTGCTCATAGTGTGGCTATAGTGGGTGTGAGGCTATGAAGCAGGCAGTGGAGGTGCAACAAGTGAGAGGGGAGAGAAGGCAGTGAGGGTGGTCCAGGTCCAGGGAGATACAGGTTCGAGGGAGAGATGGGTAGGAGCATCTAGACCGGGGATTATAGGGCAGGTGGCCGGCGATATGGTATACATAGATAAGAGAAAGCTGGTGACGTTCATAGCAGGAGCTATCAATAGCACTGCTAAAGTAGAGTCTAAAACAGAGAGGATTCAGCTAATAGTGAAAGCTGCTGGGAGACATCTGAGTATGACAGGGTTGACATGGGAAGAGGTTCAAGATTACCTCAATAAGCCGAGGGTGGAGTCATGTATTACTGGATGGATGGAAATTGCCAAGTGATGGAACATCTGATAGAAAAGAAAGATCTGGTGTGCCTGAATGATGGCCGAGGGACCAGGATTGATGTAGCCACAGGGAAAGAGTCTGACTTGGACCTCACTCTGGTATCTAGTGCGATGGCAGGAATCTGTGAGTGGGAGTAGGGAGTGATCATTACCCCATAGTATGCACAGTAGGCCGGAGGGAGGAGGAGGTGTTAGTGGATGGAGTAGGCAGGTGGGTGTTTGGAAGGGCAAAGTGGGATCAGTTTCAGGAGCTGAGAGAGCAGGTGATGGCTCGGGTGGATATGAGAGGGGATGTGGATAGTTTGAATAACTGGGTGAGAACAGCGTTAGTGGGGGCAGCTACTGAGGCTACACCTAAGAGTTCAGGGAGGAGGAGGAGGAGGAGGAAAGCACTCCCATTGTGGACGGAGGAGTGTGGGGCAATGGTGAGGAGTAGGAACAGGGCATTTAGAGTACTGAAAAGGACGCATAACTTCCAACATCTGATTCAGTATAAGCAGGCCCTGGTGAGAACTATCCGTCAGGCAAAGAGGTCATGTTGGTGTCGGTTCTGTGACACCACTGGAAGGGCGACACCTGTGGGAGAAGTGTGGGGGATGATTAAGAGGATGAGTGGGGTCAGATGGGAGTGGGATTATTCAGTGTTGACGAGTGAAAAGGATGTGGCAGTAACAGATGAGATGATGGCCAAAGTGTTTGTCCAAGTGCATAGCTCGGCAAATTTGTCAGAGGGGGAGAGAGAGAATGAGAGAGGAGCATCCTGGAGTGCTGGATAATATAATAATATAATATGCCATTTAGCAGACGCTTTTATCCAAAGCGACTTACAGTCATAGGAGGGAGGATGTAAATTATTCATTGAATGGACCATTTACCATGGCAGAGATGAAAAGGGCAATAGGTAAGGCTGGGTTAACTTCACCTGGGAAAGATGAGGTGTGCTATGTTATGTTGGCCCATCTTAGTGATGAGACACTGGATAAGGTATTGGTGTTGTACAACAGAGTGTGGGAGGAGGGGAAACTACCAAGCAGTTGTGGTACCTATCCGGAAGCCAGGGAAGGACCCAACGAGGCCAACACGCTATCGGCCAATAGATTTAACATCACATGTATGTAAGATTATTGAACGAATGATTATGGAGAGGCTAACTTACTTCCTGGAGAGCAGGGGCTAGTATCGCCACATCAGAGTGGGTTCAGGAAGGGTAGGGGAACTATGGACCCAGTGCTCTGCTTAGAAGGCTCAGGTGAACAAGGAGACTGTTGTAGCTGTCTTTTTTTGATGTGGAGAAGGCGTATGATATGATGTGGAATGAGGGGTTGTTAATCAAGCTTGATATTATGGGGGTAGGAGGAAGAACGTACAACTGGATAAAGGATTTCCTGTTTGGAAGGTCTATCCAGGTGAGGGTGGGGAAGTCTCTATCAGGCAGCTACCTGGTGGATAACGGTAAACCACAGGGGAGCGTGATTAGTCCTCTGTTGTTCTCAATCATGATCAATGATGTTTACTCTCAGGTACAGCCGGATATTGGGAGGTCGTTATTTGCAGATGATGGGGCCTTCTGGAAGAGGGGAAGAAATGTGCCATACATAGTCAGGAAGGTACAGGATGCAATTGATGAGGTAGAGCGGTGGGGATTAATGTGGGGATTCAGGTTTTCTGTAGAGAAAACTCAGTGTTCTTTACCAGGAGGAAGGTGGGAGATGAGGTATGCTTGAGGTTATATGGGAGAAACTTGGAGAGGGTGGGGGCCTTCATGTTCCTTGGTGTATACTTTGACACTAGACTGACCTGGGCAGAAGTGTAAGAAGGTGCTAAATGTGATGCGCTGTCATTTAGCAGACGCTCTTATACAGAGCGACTTACAAATTGGTGCATTCAATTTAGGATAGCCAGTGGGACAACCATCATTTTTTATTTTTAATGGGGGGGTGGGATTACTGTTATACTATTCCAGGTATTCCTTAAAGAGGTAGGGTTTCAAGTGTCTCAGGAAGGTGGTCAGTGACTCCGCTGTCCTGGCGTCGTGGGGGAGCTTGTTCCACCATTGGGGTGCCAGAGCAGCGAATAGCTTTGACTGGGCTGAGCGGGAACTGTGCTTCTGTAGAGGTAGGGGGGCTAGCAGGCCAGAGGTGGATGAACGTAGTGCCCTCGTTTGGGTGTAGGGTCTGATCAGAGCCTGAAGGTAAGGAGGTGCCGTTCCCCTCACAGCTCCGTAGGCAAGCACCATGGTTTTGTAGTAGATGTGAGCTTCAACTGGAAGCCAGTGGAGTGTGCGGAGGAGCGGGGTGACATGAGAGAACTTGGGAAGGTTGAACACCAGACGGGCTGCAGCGTTCTGGATAAGTTGTAGGGGTTTAATGGCACAGGCAGGGAGTCCCAGCCAACAGCGAGTTGCAGTAATCCAGACGGGAGATGACAAGTGCCTGGATTAGGACCTGTGTCGCTTCCTGTGTAAGGTAGGGTCGTATTCTGCAAATGTTGTAGAGCATGAACCTGCAGGATCGGGTCACCGCTTTGATGTTAGCGGAGAACGACAGGGTGTTGTCCAGGGTCACGCCAAGGTTCTTTGCACTCTGGGAGGAGGACACAATGGAGTTGTCAACCGTGATGGCGAGATCATGGAGCGGGCAGTCCTTCCCCGGGAAGAAGAGCAGCTCCGTCTTGCCATGGTTCAGCTTGAGGTGGTGATCCAACATCCACATTGATATGTCTGCCAGACATGCAGAGATGCGATTCACCACCTGGTTATCAGGCAGTATAGCATATGGTTCGGCAGCCCGGACATCATTGGAAAGGCTAGATGTCATACAGGGGCAAGGACTCAGAATATGTAGTGGGGCATTTCGGTCTCCAGTGGCTACACTACAGGTGGAGATGAGGGATATGCCATTGCAGATTAGGAGACAGCAGCTGGCAATTAATTATTGGGTCAACCTACAAGGACATGGGGTGTCTCATCCTGCACATGGGATTTTACAGGCATGTTGGGAACATGAGCGAAGACAGAACAATAGCTTTGGGTGGGTGGGTAATACCCAGGTGAAGGAAATGGGACTGTATGGAAGGGAGATTAGTCCAAAGGTAGCCATTCCTGTAAATCCACAATGGCTACTCCCGCCTCCAGTAATTGATCTAGAAGTGTTGGAGCGACTACAGAAAGATAGGGTGTTTATCCATCTGATTTGTCTAAGAGATGTCTGGATACTATGTATCAGGATTTTGTGGCCATTTACACAGATGGCTCAAAAAATCCAAGGACAGGAATGTGGGGTGGAAGTCAGGAAACTTATTACAGATCATCTGGCTGTATATACGAAGGAGCTGATGGCCATACTGTTGGCCTTGCAGTGGGTGGAGGAAGTCAAACAAGACAGAGTAGTTATTTGCTCTGATTCATGTGCAGTGTCAATGAGTCTCCAGTCCTTTAGCACACGTAGCAGACAAGACCTGCTTTATGAGGTGCTACAAACCCATGGCAGGATTAAACAGATGGGTATACAGATAAGATTTACTTAGTTTAAAGAGTGTATTGAGCAGAACGTCATTAGATACAGTCTCAAATATTTTGTTATCTTTTTTTAAGAGCAGGATTTAGTTTCTCCCTGTCTCTGGCCCACACTCCAGTACAATAGGTGGCGGTAATGCACCATAACGTTGGATGCCAACCGCCGATAAACCCCACCGAAAAATAAGAAACCCTATTGCACATTTTGGCCACCAGGCGTCTCCTTATAGCCTCTTTCCCGAGATAAATACTCTCGTCAGCACTATTCAGTACCACACGCTTCACTCGAACGAAGGGTTGGAAGAAAACGTATCCTACAAGCTCTACGGTTGTCAGGTAGGAGATACCTTGTGCTATGTTTAGCAAGATTTTAACACATGTATCAAGCGGCGGAGCATGCCGCCCGCCTTGCGTTTTTGTTTAGTTTCCGGTCTATGCTGCTTGACGTTTTCTGCACACGGCACCGTAGTTGTTGCTAGTGCAGAGTGCATAAATTCATCTCATGGCGCTCTCTTTTGATAGTAAACTCGGTGTATTTCGTCTCCGAGATGAATGTGGTCGTTACAAAAGACCATTTGATTGTTTTTCATTTGCTCACGATTGCCTATCATTTACACCCTGACTAGGCCGTGGCAAGGCCCGCGAGCAACCACCATATGATCTTCCTTCGAAATGCTGCATCTCTTGATAAACGATAAAGAAATATCTAGCTAATTCTGGGTACTTGCATGTTGGCTGTTGTGATAGGTGACTTGTCGTGGTCACGACTCATTGTCCCCCTCAAACTAGTAGTATGGATCTGTCGCGGTTCGTATGTACGTAGCTAGCTAATCTCAGACCCCACTGGCCCAATTTTGACCAAACGGGTGAATGATGCGTCTTGTCATGGTTGGTGCAATCCGATTTCTTTGTGACGTCCCTACCCTAAACCCCTACCTAAACTATATTAAATGTAAACCTGGATGGTATAGGGACGTATAGGGACGTACCAAGGATCCTGAATAGCAAGGACCATATTGTCATAGAGATCCAATAGTATGTGAATGTGGATCCGCAATTCGGGGCGTTCTTGCATGTTTTCATTCCTGCATCTGCAGGAACGCCCCCCATCCAGCATCCCATTGTTTATTACATGAACGTCTCCCCAAGCGGGGACGAAGGACATTGTCTACCGGTGTCCTAGCTTGCTAGTTATCGGTGTCGCTCCCGCCTGCTGTCCCAGCACACAGTGTCCTTCGCTAACACCTGCCAAACACTTGCCGTTAACAGAACTGCGGGAAAGCAATGCCCGACAGGCGGGGTAAAGGACACTGCCTACAGGTGTCCTAGCTAGCTATCCCGCCTGCTGTGTACCGGAGTCCTAGCTAGCTAGCACACGTTTTCCTTCGCTCCAGCCTGCCGAACACCTGACCTTGCTGTCGTTAACAGACCTGCAGGAAAGCGGTGGCCGACAGGCGGGGAGAAGGACAATGTCTATCGGTGTCCTAGCTAGCTACCATTTTCGCCTCCGCCCCTTCTTCTGTGGGGTTTATTGTTGGTTGGCATCCAACGTTATGTTCATTACCGCCACCTACTGTACTGGAGCGCCCCCGCCACTTGCCTGTGAACCGGAGTCCTAGCTTAAAAATTGACCTTCACCCCAGTCTGAGGTCCTAACCTGCTCCAGAGCGCTCTTCATCAAGGATCTCTCTGTACTTTGCTCTGTTAATCTTTGCCTTGATCCTGACTAATCTCAGAGTCCCTGCAACTGAAAAGCATCCCCACAGCATGATGCTGCCACCACCATGCTTCACCGTAGGGATGGTGCCAGGTTTCATCCAGATGTGACGCTTGGCATTCAGGCCAAAGAGTTCAATCTTGGTTTCTTCAGACCAGAGAATCTTGTTTCTCATGGTCTGATAGTCTTTAGGTTTGCCTTTTGGCAAACTCCAAGCGGGCTGTCACGTGCCTTTTGCTGAGGAGTGGCTTCCATCTGGCCACTCTACCATAAAGGCCTGATTGGTGGAATGCTGCTGAGATGGTTGTCCTTCTGGAAGCTTCTCCCATCGGCTCAGAGGAACTCTAGAGCACTGTCAGACTGACCATCGGGTTCTTGGTCACCTCCCTGACCAAGTCCCTTCTCCCCCGATTGTTCAGTTTAGCCGGGCGGCCAGCTCTAGGAAGAGTGTTGGTGGTTCCAAACTTCTTCCATTTAAGAATGATGGCAGCCACTGTGTTCTTGGGCACCTTCAATGCTGCAGAATTGTTTTTGTACCCTTCCCCAGATATGTGCCTCGACACAATCCTTTCTCGGAGCTCAACGGACAATTCCTTCTACCTCATGGCTTGGTTTTTGCTCTGACATGCACTGTCAACTGAGGGGACCTTTATATTGACAGGTGTGTGCCTTTCCAAATCATGTCCAATCAATTGAATTTACCACAGGTGGGCTCCAATCAAGTTGTAGAAAAATCTCAAGGATGATCAATGGAAACAGGATGCACCTGAGATCAATTTCAAGTCTCATAGCAAAGGGTCTGAATAATCAATCAAATCTAATTGTATTGGCCACATGCGCCGAATACAACAGGTGCAGACATTACAGTGAAATGCTTACTTACAGCCCTTAACCAACAGTGCATTTATTTTTTTATAGAAAAGTAAAATAAAACAACAACAAAAGTGTTGAGGAAAAAAAGAGCAGAAGTAAAATAAAATAACAGTAGGGAGGCTATATATACAGGGGGGTATCGGTGCAGAGTCAATGTGTGGGGGCACCGGCTAGTTGAGGTAGTTGAAGGAATATGTACATGTGGGTAGAGTTAAAGTGACTATGCATAAATAATTAACAGAGTAGCAGCAGCGTAAAAAGGATGGGGTGGGGGGGCAGTGCAAATAGTCCGGGTAGCCATGATTAGCTGTTCAGGAGTCTTATTGCTTGGGGGTAGAAGCTGTTGAGAAGTCTTTTGGACCTAGACTTGGCACTCCGGTACCGCTTGCCGTGCGGTAGCAGAGAGAACAATCTATGACTAAGGTGGCTGCAGTCTTTGACAATTTTGAGGGCCTTCCTCTGACACCACCTGGTATAGATAAGGTATTTCTGTTTTATTTTTAATACATTTACAAACATTTCTAAAACCCAGTTTTCGCTTTGTCATAATGGGGTATTGTATGTAGATACTTTTTTATTTAATCAATTTTAGAATAAGGCAGTAACGTAACAAAAAGTCAAGGGGTCTGAATACTTTCCGAAGGCACTGTAATCTGTGTCCAGGAAACGGCCTCTGTGTGTGTGGTTTATTCCTTTCAAAAGGTCTGGATTAGTTAGACCATTCCCGGTGAACAAGCAAACCATTAGGCAACTGCAGTTTTAATAGTTTCAATGTAATGGTCTCTAATGGTCTTGAATGGTAAAAGTCCCAAACACACAATGACCATGTTTACATTCTGGATAGTAGCTCATATATCCCGCTTAAGGTCTTATTCGGGATAGGTTGTTTACATTAATCTTTGATATCCCGCTCACGAGTATCCCTGTAGACATGAATAAATAGAATATTCCTAATTTAAAATTCATATGGGTTAAATTGAATAGTAACTGAAATATGGACACTGACTGTAGGCCTAGAACCTCTCACATGTAGCACAATATAATATTAACTCCTGCAGAATTATGCATTTCTTGCAGTAAAATCATACAACTAATGTTAATTTTGTCTCGAACAGGAGTGGAGAAATATAATTTATTTCAGCATCTCTTGAGAAAATGCGAACGCGCCTGTAATGTGTTATCTTTGACACTGTAATGCAAGCGGACAGGATTTTAACCACATTAAATATGTACAGATGACGAATTGAAGTCTTCATCATTTTCTCAGCTTTTCATCTACTTAAAACCGTTCAAACTGATACCATTTTGCACAGGACCAATCTTTCCAGTGTTTTGGAGTTGCGTTTTCTCCCCGGTCCCTAAACGAAACCGACAACTTTACCGGTGTTAACTACACATAACAAAAATATGAACGCAACATGTAAAGTGTTGGTCCCATGTTTCATGAGCTGAAAATAACATCCCAGAAATGTTCCATTCACACAAAAAGCTTATTTCTCTCAAACTTTGTGCACAGATGTTTACATCCCTGTTTGTGAGCATTTCTCCTTTCCCAAGATAATCCATTCCATCTGACAGGTGTGGCATATCAAGAAGCTGATTAAACATCATGATCATTACACAGGTGCACCTTGTGCTGGGAGACAATAAAAGGCCACTCTAAAATGTGCGGTTTTCTCACACAACACAATGCCACAGATGTCTGAAGTTTTGAGGGAGCCTGCAATTGGCATGCTGATTGCAGGAATGTCCACCAGAGTTGTTGCCAGATAATTTAATGTTCATTTCTTCACCATAAGCCAACTCAAATGTCGTTTTATAGAATTTGGCAGTACGTCCAACCGGCCTCACAACCACAGACCACATGTATGGCGTCCTGTGGGCGAGTACCCTATGGTGACGGTCTGGTTATGGTATGGGCAGGCATAAGCTACGGACAACGAAATACCGTGACGAGATCCATTTCTTTTAAGGTATCTATGACCAACAGATGCATATCTGTATTCCCAGTCATGTGAAATCCATAGAATAGGGCCTAATGAATTTATTTCAATTGACTGATTTCCTCATATGAACTGTAACTCAGTAAAGTCCTTGACATTCTTGCATGGTGCGTTTATTTTTGTACAGTATAGATGACTAATTCTGTCAATTTAAGGGTGTTTTCACATTTGGTCCCTTTTACCTAACTTTTTGTGCAGTGTGAACACGCCAAAGGAGCTCAGAACCCTCAAAAGAGCCCCCGAACCGAACAGAGACCATTCCCTTTTTAGGGGCGATGTGAATGCAAAGCTCCCCAGGTTCGCTTGTCATTATTCCCTGCACCACGCACTAGACTACTGCAACACTGTTTCCCCTGCCATAAACCCTCACATTAGTGCCACAAAAGAGAGATGATGATGATGATGATGTGCTGGTTCATGGAAGAAAATGTATGCTGTTTTTTCGATCTTGATTAGCGATTGTCAAGGACGCACAGAAATTCCCAAATGTGTGGAGTTTTTAGTTCAGATTGTTTGTAATATGTGATCTATAGGCTAAGAGAGCTTCACAAGCTGTTTATTGATTGTGGGGTTTGAATAGTGTGAGAAGACAAATATATTTGGTGAAAATCACAACATATGGTACGAAATCTATTCTAGCTCTTAAAGGGGCAGTAGCCTACCTTGGGTGTAATTTTTAAATTTTTTATTACAGCATTATTTATTTGGCATTTATTCTATTGCTATTTATTCTGTTATCAATCAAATGTACATGTTAATAGTATCTTCTGATTACAATTATGTCTCAGATTTTAACTAAATTAAATCTATTTGCTTCCAAAATGTAAGTAGTTATATCTAGCTGTCCGATAACACATTCTGATTGAATGCTTGTCCTGCACTTTGTAAAAAGCCAGAGTGCGTGTTGGGAAAAAGATCTTGGTTCCTTTCTAAACATAGCGATGTGAATGCAAAGAGGATTCGGTCCACAAAATAGGTTGAAGTGAATTGGCAAAAGAGTTGAATCCTCATTCAAAGGCAAGGGCAGTGTGAATATAAAGACAAGTATTGTGATTTTTTTTTTACCCTGGAGTTCTTTTTAAAGAGGACTATATGTGAAAACACCCTAAGACATTATTCTGGTGAGCACTGCTTTATTTATTCTTCTGGGGCAACAAGTTATGACAGAAGAGAAGCTGTATCTATCTATAGTTGACAAACTAATGGCCTACCAAATGTCAGAAACTTGTCTAAATTATGGGTGAAAGGAGACACTAGGCTATACGGTCCACTATGGAGTATCAGCAAAATGAATTATGGTGGATCGAACTGCGGTAAGCCTACTTTTTTGAAGGGATTTGTTTGACGATCAGATGAAAACATCATCACACAACACCCATGATATGCGAAACTGAGCCTGCCCAGACCGCGAAAAACAACAGTAAACGGGATAAGATGTTTACATGCCACAGTATTCCGTCTAATTTCAGCATATCCCAGGCATCTTATACAGGTTTTTCATAACCGGGATACAAGCTTTGTGGGGTTATTGTAAACAGGATATGATGTTTATATGCGTCAACTCAAAAACAGAATATTGAGTATTCCGAATAATAACGGGATATTGGTGCGCATGCAAACTTGGTCAGAGTATAGTGTGGGATATTCAACTCTTACCCTACGAGATCCAGAGCCTGCTGGTTTTCTGTTCTGATAATTAATTGCACACACCTGGTGTCCCAGGTCTAAATCAGTCCCTGATTAGAGGGGAACACTGGATTTTTCGTACATCTGCGCGGCACCTTCAGCATTCAGATGCTTGTAAAATGGCTTTCACAATGTCAAATCATAGGCTTTATTAGTTGTGTCAACCAATGTAATTTGCTGGATCATTTTTACCAAATGAGCTGTAGAAAATTGTTTTACTGGAGTGGTATAGCCTAACGGAGTGGACACAACACATCCAACTGCTGATTGGGTTTTCAATCCTATAGATTTTATTTAGATTGTTCAGGTTCACCATAAGAAATAGTTTTGGTAGTTTTGCTTTGAACAGTCCTTTTGTATTTGTCATTTTTGGGGTAATTTCATAAAGGACAGCAATCATCTTTGTGAACTGCTTATTGTTGCATTGGTCGGAGAGCTACATACATTTCCAAACGGTCTAAACCATTTGCTTTTGAGATGGGGGGGGGGGGTAAAATCCAAAGCTGCATTATATTAATTGGCTAAGTAAATGCCATGCTAATTTCTAAAGATAAATATTGTCAGTATTGGCTCAAAACATTTTTATCTGCAAAAATGACAAGTTAATCAGTGGGTGATGGGGATTTCAGATAAAAGTGGGGGGACAAAAAACATAAATTGCCCCCACCCCTAATCTGATAGTGGAGTGGTAAATGCTCAGTTTGCCCTATGGCTCAGCTCAGGTGCCTACACACACCATTGACATTGACACTCACGCATTCACTTAAACACACACTCACACTACTGTGTGTTGACATTGATATGGTATGCACAAAGACTAAGATTTCTTGTGTGGGCTTTTGAATACAAAGTCTCAATAGTCTTCTGTATCATATCCTTTTCACACTACTAAGCCAAGCCGAACCGAACACTGCCAAATCAAGCTGTATTGAGATGGCCGGCAAGCCTGGTTATGCATCCACCATAGTTTCTCTATGAACCCTGCTGAAAAGGAAATATTTAAACCTGCATAGTTTGGATCAGCAGAACTACCGAAACTGCTTGCATTTGCAAAACTATTTGAGCAATCAACTGACCTATGACCATGTTGTTCTATTTGATTCACTTTTCCATGTAGAGGGAATGGCAATGAGGAGGAACAGGAGGTGGCTAGCAGCAGCCCTGGCAATGCTGGGTCTTGCTATGTGTTGGCCCTGCTCTACTGGGGACACTGGTCCAGAGTGCACTCGTGTCACTGGGGAGACTGGTAAAAGTGGCAGTGAGTATCTGTCCACTATCGACACCCAGATGGCAGAACAGACCCAGCGGCAGCACCTGGAAGCTCTGTTTGACAGGTAAATCCTTAAGGTGGAACTCCAGTCTCCTTTTCACCTCATGTAAACACCTGATTTACTTAACAAAAGGCACATCTCAATAGGTGGTCCAGGTAAGTTATGACATCAAATATACAATTTTATTCGCCACATGCTTCGTAAACAACAGGTGTAGACTAACAGTGAAATGCCTACTTACGGGCCCTTCCCAACAATCCAGACAGAGAAAATTTTGCCACACACGGAGGATCTATGACTATAGCCTGTTGCCGCTTTGACTTATGATTGGCCAACAACAACAAGGTACACGTGCCACACTACTCTACGTGCCACTCTCTAGCAAGAGCAGTAGCAGCATACATTATACAATTTCTCTCTCTCTCTACACTGCAGCAGTCGCGTTCGGATCTGTATGGGCCCTCCCGGACAACTCAGTTAAAATTACACAAACCCAAAACCCGTGACAATCAGATCCGACCCAGAACCGTGACATTATTTAGAATTCTGGATCCGTCTCGGGTTCAGGTCTCGGGTATTTGGGTACAGCTGGATCCGTGAAGACCTGTAGTTCAGTTCTTGGGCACAGGAACTATGGTGGTCTGCTTGAAACATGTAGTTATTACAGACTGGGTCAGGGAGGGGTTGAAAATGTCAGTGAAGATACTTGCCAAGCTGGTCGTGGGGGGGTTGGGCCTTCCCTTTTTTGGTTCTCTATTGTTCCTTTTTAAGCAAGGGGAAGGTCAATGACATCACGGATTTCCATCAGACCGACTCCTTGAATGCCCTACTCCTTGAAGTTTGCAGTTGTCTAAAAAAACACTTTTGCTCAAAACATATTTTTCTAGTCTATATGCACACCTTGAGCGTGTTCAATAGGGTATTACATTTACATTTTAGTCATTTAGCAGACGCTCTTATCCAGAGCGACTTACAGTTAGTGAGCGCATACATTTTTTCCCCCAGCAAAAGGTTTGAAAGGCCCTTAATTTTTTATTCACGTTCTGAATGTGTGAACCTGTGTACAAAGGTGATGAGAATCAGATGCATTACGCCTAAATATAAATTCTTTGAAAATGTACAGGTACGGGGAGAATGGCACCATTTCGCTGGCAGGCCTGAAGCGCCTATTGGAAAACGTGGGGCTCGACCGAATACGGAAAGTCATGGTGCAACACCATGAACAACCCGACGAGGATGGAGCAGAGGGGTATCGGCGTGGACACCACAACCACCACCGTAACCACCAACACGAGGACGACCATAATGGCACACACCGTCAAAAGCACTCCCACCCCCCACCCATTGAGCCCAAGAAGGTTCCCCAGACCCCCAAGGTGCCCAAAGTAGAGGACCCCACCCCGGGGAAGAAAGTGGAGAATTTGGATGCCCACCATAACCTCTATGTGAAGAAAACCGCATCGCAGGAGATTAGCACCACCACTGCGTACACCACCAATGTCCTAGTGAAGTCCGAGGCAGTGCGCAGTCGGCGGGAAGCGGACTCTGACTCAGCCCACACTGCTAGTCTGACCACTGTCATACAGGACAGCAACTCTCTGGTCACTGAGAACCAAACCCAGCCAATCATGGTCAGGCAGGAGGGCTCGGATGACCAGCACTTAGATGACCATGACCACGATAATGACCATAATGATCACAACCATGATCATGAACACAGTCATGATGACCACAGCCATGGTCAGGACAGCCTCCACAACCAGAGTCAAGATCACATACAGGAGAAAGCAGAGGTATGATTTGGGCAGCAATGTGGCATTCGGGGTGTTTGACATACTAGTCCAACATTTGTCATTGTCCTATACAAATGTTTGTCCCATATTTAGGTGTCTAATGTACTCAATTTTGTCTTCCAGTTATTTAAATGTCCCATATTCATAACCTTTTTTCTGATTGGGTTCTCTCTCTCTCCTATCTTTGTCAAAACAAATCATCAAATGGTCATACTGTACTTATTTATTTGGTCACACGCACGCAATTTTTGTTTCATAATCTGTATCATCGTTGTATATTTTAGTGTATGAATGCCTCCAGTATCCTGTCGTCCCATGGGATGGCCAAAGGGGCCCTGTCTCTCAGTGACTTCAGCTACCTCTGTCCTGCCCTTCTCAACCAGATCGACGCCAAGTCCTGCATACTGCACGGCAACCAACCACCCCAGCATGTTGACAAAGGTATGACTATGGCTCTTTTTGCAATTGTCTGAACAATTGGACCTCTCCTCACCTCTTCATTTCATTGCACTGATCTGAAAGAACTGACCATGGCCCGGTTTCCCAAAAGCATCTTAAGGCTAAGTTCATTGTTAGAACCTTCATAGGAGCATCGTTAAATATCCAAGCTGTTTCCCATAACCATCGTTATTAATGTTGCACTTGAAAACGCTCCTAATCTAACGCGTGCCTCAGACCACTCATAGAACAGCTAAGTGCGTCGTTAGATATTTTTTTTGCCCTCCCGCGTCACTTAATACACAGAAGAGCTCCGCTAAACATAATCACATGGTTGATCCGTCTCTCTGTGACCGCCGATAATTTCAGAACAAAGTTGACTACAAATACGAAGTTGACAATGTCTTTGCAATTAATACAGACAAGCAACATATAAAAAGATGCTTCAAATGGAAACCGAGATTACTGCATTAAAATCTAAACAGTTAGGCTATAGGTGTTTAAAATAGAGTTCAATTTTGCTACATGTAGGCCACTGTCTGTAATTTCTTTCAATATATTTCATGATGTGTAGCCTAACGTGCGCAATGATGTGCCAAATCGGTGATTTAGTGAATTTCTATTGGGTAAGCATTAGAATAAGCAGCCTCTATATTTCCAGCCATAGGTTGTACTATCTCTCTAGGAGCTGATCCATCGTCATTATTGTGAAATAATTCTAATGTTAAGGTAAGATTTGAATGGAGAAAGCTGATATGAGAGCAGAGCTCCCTTTTTTCTTTCGATCCTATCAGTATCGACACATGCTCCAACAATGCACTTAGTGACCGTTCTCTCTGTGTGATTTTTGGGAAATGCATGTTGCATCTTCGGCCGTTCCACCGCTATTGGGAAGACGGGCCCAGGTCAAAGCCAGCCTTACTATGAGCTTCCGCTGTATTGATTTCACTTGTCAGGTCTTTTCCAATCAGTGCTGTTGAAGGGGAGGAGATGAGCAGAGGATGGATTTTGAAACAATATCGACAGAGCCTGTATCTCCTCTCACAGAAAGTGTAGTCACCTTACACTGTCTAGTCAGCAAGTCGTACAAAAATGGGATCCACTTGCTAATCTAGTGGGAGTCTCTGATGGGTGCTTTGGAATATATAATATGATACATGTGCTCGCACAATGCAATAATTGTTTGAAGTGCCAATGTTTCGGTCGACCAACCTTTGTCAGAACAAAAGGGAAACTGTGCGAGCAAGCAGTGTGCTGGAACCTCTTCTTTTGAGCCTCTTGATTTCCAGTATCCTCGGTTTATTCAACTTGCAGACAACAATGAAATGTAATGTAATGTAATTATAGCTGCTTTGATTGAATTTCATGGCAAGTCAATTGGACACTCAAGTACCAATCAAGTGGTCGAGGTCTCTTGACTTTGACCTTGAGTTTCACGTGTGTTTTGGTACATTTCGATCGATATTAACTGCAAGGTTGATAATAGTGCATACTGTAATCCACACATGCTCCATTTTCTGGTCTGAAGAGTATGGTTCCTCATATGTCTCTTCTATTGGCTTGCTTTTAAAGGCACAATCTGTGACTTTAATATCCAGTCAAAGTGCTTCCCATGTACTTGTTTAATGAAGTCCGATTGTGCCTGGACAATAATGCCATTTTGAAGAAGATGTCACTCACTACAGCATAATGTAAAGACAATTATTAAAGCTATTAAGCATATTCATTTTAGTAATGCCTTATATGCATTGATCACGTTTATTTGATCCCTTCCAGTTCACAAGCATCATAATACCCATTTCCATGGTCATCACAACCATGACCATCACAACCATGACCATCACAACCATGATCACACTCAGGAGGATCACCAAGTGAATGAAAACAAGAAAGTATGCTCAATTCAAGCAGGTAAGAACCACTGTATTGTTTTGTACCAGGTTCATTTTCAGTATTATGTCCTCCCTTTTATTCTGCCTCCATTTATGTGGTAGATACGATAAATCTATTAGTTATCATGAAATGTTTTTCACTGTGCTAATTTAAATCCATTACACCAGTTTGTCTATTATACATTGGGGGACATTTTGCTTGAGCAAATAGCAGTGAGCTAAAATGTCAAAGTTTCACTTGCATCAATGAACCTTTTAATCCAAAACGGATCTGTTTGTATACATGTGCATGTGTTTGAACGTGTGTGTGTGTGTGTGTTCAAGCGTGGGCCGGCGGCTTTGTCTCCATCACCATCATCAGCCTGCTGTCCTTGGCGGGCGTGGTGCTCATCCCATTGATGAACCGCGTCTTCTTCAAGTTCCTGCTCAGTTTCCTGGTGGCGCTAGCCGTGGGCACGCTGAGCGGAGACGCCTTTCTGCACCTCATACCCCACGTGAGTCACACTAGATGACTGCTTTGGACCACTACATATTAGGGAAGGACATGGGGGTTGTTTCTGAAAGCTAAACATGAAGCTTGGTCATTGTGACTGGCCAGTTAATCATGCTGAGCTGGACTTAAGTCAAGATCGCCATGATTGGGTGCATTAGTTTTAGCTTGCCTTCACTTTAGGACCAATTTGAATGGTCTGTACAAAAACTGCCCACCCGTTGCACTGGCGAGCGAAAACAAATGCACCTATTGGTTCTTATACGCCTTGCTTCACTCACACTCACGCGTAAATTCCCATCTCCTCCTCCTACCCCACCAGTCTCAGGGGGGCCACCACCACCGTCAGCACTCTGTGAACAAGACGTCAGGGCACGGTCTCCACGGGGAGGAGGAAGAGGACCATAACCTGGACGGGGTGTGGAAGGGGCTGACGGCCCTGGGCGGAGTCTACTTCATGTTCCTCATCGAGCACTTCCTCACGCTGGGCAAAATGTACAAGGACAAACAGAAGGTCAGTGGGGGTGGGTGGGGTGGGGGGGGTCATCGAGGGTTGGCTTCTATTGTGTCTAATGTAGTTTTAGTCTTTGTGTTATATATTTGCTGAAATGTTTATTCATTTTTGATAATTCAGTATGGAAGCATAGGTGTGAATGCATTTGTAATGCAAAAATGAAAGATAAAAAAAATATATTGTATAGTTACAGGGTATTTCCCCTATATTCATTTAAACTCAATTTTTCACAATTCCTGACATTTAATCCTAGTAAAAATGCCCCGTCTTAGGTCAGTTAGGATCACTACTTTATTTAAGAATGTGAAATGTCAGAATAATAGTAGAGAGAATTCTTTATTTCAACTTCCATTTCTTTATCACATTCCCAGTGGGTCAGAAGTTTACATACACTCAATTAGTATTTGGTAGCATTGCCTTTAAATTGTTTAACTTGGGTCAAACGTTTCGGGTAGCCTTCCACAAGCTTCCCACAATAAGTTGGGTGAATTTTGGCCCATTCCTCCTGACAGAGATGGTGTAACTGAGTCAGGTTTGTAGGCCTCCTTGCTCGCACACGCTTTTTCAGTTCTGCCCACAAATGTTCTATAGGATTGAGGTCAGGGCTTTGTGATGGCCACTCCAATACCTTGACTTTGTTGTCCTTAAGCCATTTTGCCACAACTTTGGAAGTATGCTTGGGGTCATTGTCCATTTGGAAGCCCCATTTGCGACCAAGCTTTAACTTCCTGACTGATGTCTTGAGATGTTGCTTCAATATATCCACATCATTTTCCTTTCTCATGATGCCATCTATTTTGTGAAGTGCACCAGTCTCTCCTGCAGCAAAGCACCCCCACAGCATGATGCTGCCACCCCTGTGCTTCACGGTTGGGATGGTGTTCTTCGGCTTGCAAGCAACCCCCTTTTTCCTCCAAACATAACGATGGTCATTATGGCCAAACAGTTATATTTTTGTTTCATCAGACCAGAGGACATTTCTCCAAAAAGTACGATCTTTGTCCCCATGTGCAGTTGCAAACCGTAGTCTGGTTTTTTTATGGCGGTTTTGGAGCAGTGGCTTCTTCCTTGCTGAGCGGCCTTTCAGGTTATGTCGATATAGGACTCGTTTTACTGTGGATATAGCTACTTTTGTACCTGTTTCCTCCAGCATCTTCACAAGGTCCTTTGCTGTTGTTCTGGGATTAATTTGCGCTTTTCCCACCAAAGTACGTTAATCTCTAGGAGACAGAACGCGTCTCCTTCCTGAGCGGTATGACGGCTGCGTGGTCCCATGGGGTTTATACTTGCGTACTATTGTTTGTACAGATGAACGTGGTACCTTCAGGCATTTGGAAATTGCTCCCAAGGATGAACCAGACTTGTGGAGGTCTATAATATAATTTAATTTTTATTTTCCCATGATGTCAATGAAAGAGGCACTGCATTTGAAGGTAGGCCTTGAAATACATCCACAGGTACACCTCCAATTGACTCACATTATGTCAATTAGCCTATCAGAAGCATCTAAAGCCATGACATCATTTTCTGGAATTTTCCAAGCTGTTTAAAGGCACAGTCAGCTTAGTGTATGTAAACTTCTGACCCACTGGAATTGTGATACAGTGAATTATAAGTGAAAGAATCTGTCTGTAAACAATTGTTGGAATAATTACTTGTCATTCACAAAGTAGATGTCCTAACCAACTTGCCGAAACTATAGTTTGTTAACAAGAAATTTGTGGAGTGGTTGAAAAACAAGTTTTAATGACTCCAACCTAAGTTTATGTAAACTTCCGACTTCAACTGTGTGTGTGTGTGTGTGTATATATATATATATATATATATTATATAAGAGAGAGAGATATCTCTATCTCAATCAAACATTAGGAACACCTTCCTAATATTGAGTTGCACCCCCCATTTAGCCCTCAGGACAGCCTCAATTCGTCGGGCCGTGGACTCTACAAGGTGTCGGAAGCGTTCCACAGGGATGCTGGTCCATGTTAACTCCAATGCTTCCCACAGTTGTGTGAAGTTGTTTGGATGTCCTTTGGTTGTTGGACCATTCTTGATACACACTGGAAACTGTTGAGCGTGACAAACCCAGCAGCGTTGCAGTTCTTGACCCAAACCGGTGTGCCTGGCACCTACTACCATACCCTGTTCAAGGGCACTTAAATATTTTGTCTTGCCCATTCACCCTCTGAATGGCACACATACACAATCCATGTCTCAATTGTCTCAAGGCTTTCAAAATATTCTTGAACCTGTCTCCTCCCCTTCATCTACACGGATTGAAGTGGATTCAACAAGTGACATCAGTATGGGATCCTAGCTTTCACCTGGTCAGTCTGTCATGGAAAGGTGTTCTTAATGTGTTGTACACTCAGTGTGTGTGGGGGGGGGTGTGTGTATGTGTTTTAACTATAGGTGAAAGCTATTATCCCTTATTGATGTCTCTAATTAAATGCACTTCAATCAGTGTAGATGAAGGGGAGGAGACAGGTTAAAGAAGGATTTTTAAGCCTTTAGACAATTGAGACATGATTGTGTATGTGTGCCATTCAGAGGGTGAATTGCTAAAGCAAAAGATTTAAGTGCCTTTGAACGGGGTATCGTAGAGGCTGTTCTAAGGGCAAAAGGGGGGAGACGGTGCAACTCAATATTAGATAGGTGTTCTTAATGTTTTGTACGCTCTCTCTGTGTGTGTGTGTGTGTGTGTGTGTGCAGTATTTCTGCCGAGACGCACTTTTAAATAGATAGTCGATTCAATGACTGGAAGTCTACAGCTAGCATGTCGTTGTGCTTATGCTAGTAGCAATGCCCCCCCACCCTTTCCACAACTGCTGAAAACAATCCTAGGGGAAATACTGTTCCAGCTACATGCTTCCATCATTCAGCATCTTGTATTTGTATTTCTGCTTTTGATTTCATGCATGTTGTGATCTGCAGAATTGGTTTACAGATAGCAATGAGCATTTACATAAATGTGATGTTTATCTTTGTTCTTTCCACTCAAATATTAATCTCATATTAACCAAACAACAGGTGAAGAAATATGACCAGAATGATGACAAGGTGGATCCTGAGAAACTACAGGCGCTGGAGGAGAACGACCTAAAGCCAACTGAAGGTCAATCATTGAGGGTTGTGGAGACATTTAACAAACAATGTGACAACATTCACTCTGTCTCAGTGCGTCAAAACACAGATGCAGAGACCAACAGTTTGACTTCCTAGTTTTTATCATCTTAACATTTATTGATAATGCATGCAACCAACTTTTACTTACTTTATTTTTATGACGTCTATTTGACAGGGATAATGTACGTTAATCAGCATTTCTGTAATGCATCTGCCAGATTTAGCTCAAAGGCTAATTTTCACCAGTAAGACATTGCGTCAGAACCCAGACGAAAATACCAAAGGTTTAATATTTAAATGACCATGTGTTGTTGGGTTAGCAATTACCTTCGGAGCACATTGATGCTAGTGTTTGTGTGAGTTCGAATCCGACCGATGCCATTTCTAACACACACTGTCCTCCTAACTTTGTTTCTCTCACTGTCTCTGTCCAATAAACATGAAAAATACAGAAAGGAGTGAGAATTCCCACTCTTTAAAAAAACACACACAAACAATTAACCCTGCCTTCTGTCGTGTCCAAATCCCCCCCAAAGACGTGAATACTAACGGCGGTGGCAACTTCGGCGACCACCACAGCGACGGGCTCCACCGGGGCAGCGAGGAAGAGGAGGTAATGCTGGCGCCCGCCACCTTGCCCGAGGGCTACGCATCCATGTCGGGCTCGGCGGCTGCCGCAATGGCCTACACAGCAGGGGACTGTGAGAACAAGTGCCACTCCCACTTCCACGACACGGTGGGCGAGGCGGACAACCTGCACCACCACCACCACGAATACCACCACATTCTGCACCACCACCACTCTCAGAACCACCATCCACACAGCCACTCGCACTCGTACTCGGAGCAACACTTCCAGCAGGCGGGCGTGGCCACGCTGGCCTGGATGGTTATCATGGGCGATGGTCTGCACAACTTCAGTGACGGTCTGGCCATTGGTGCGTTCAAGTTTGAACTTTCCCTCAATACAAGGGGAAAGCGTCTGTTTGATAATAGTGTGATAATGCTGTTTTAATGTTTTCTTTTCAGGCATTTGAGGATGAGAGAAATGAGTTTCAGCTATCATAGAACATTATTTCTTTAAATTTTAGTAAAGGGAAAAGGGGATACCTAGTCAGTTGCACAACTGAATGCATTCAACCTAAATGTCTTCCACATTTAACCCAATCCCTCTGAATCAGAGAGGTGCGGGGGGCTGCCTTAATCCACGTCCACATCATCGGCGCCCAGGGAGCAGTTGTTGAGGGTTAACTGCCTTGCTCAAGGGCAGAACGGCAGATTTTTCCACCTTGCCCGCTCGTGGATTCGAAGCAGCGACCTTTCGGTGACTGGCCAAACGCTCTTAACCCCTAGGCTACCTGCCACCCGTAGTAGTACTAGTCATGACTATACATGAGGATGTAGGAGAAATGAGTTTGAACCTACATTACATTTAGTCATTTAGCAGACGCTCTTATCCAGAGCGACTTACAGTTAGTGAGTGCATACATTTTTCATACTGGCCCCCCGTGGGAATCGAACCGTATTCTTAGGTTCGACATACTCTTAGGTTTGAACACCTTTTAACCATGGCTTAAGTGTTTGTTCAACAATGAGAAACGTCACTCCTTTTGTATCTGCTGTTTTGTCAAGATCTGATATGAACTGTATTACGTCTAGTTTATCACTGTTGAACAGCCATCACTAGCCGTCTACCAGGTGATGCACACCACACACACACAACACACACACACCTCATACTCATAAAGACGCACGTAGACGCACACACTTGCATACACACTCACACAGCCAACGCTGCTGTCCCATGCAATAGAGACATTGAACCATTGGTCACTTCCTGTTTCACACTGTATTTAAATACTGTATCCCCCGACGTAGCTCATCATAGTATTTCTACCACTGTACATTGTATTTTAGTTACACTGTTTATACACACCGCATATTTATTTATACACTGGATTCTTGACATGGCTTACTCTATCTTGTGTAGATGCGTATAGATTGCATTTGATTACTGCTACAGTAATTGCCCCGCCGTTATTGATTTCTTGTCTTTTTTTTGTATATTTTAATTGTTAGGAGCTATTAACATAAGCATTTCGCTGCAAAATTTCGCTGCAAAACACCTGCTTAACTGTACGCGACCAATAAACGTTGATTTTGATTGATGTTATTAAACTCAATCTTTATGACCCATAATGAAGGGTTGTACAGTTATTTAATGTTTCTTTATGACTTATGACAGGGGCAGCGTTCACGGAAGGGCTGTCCAGTGGCCTCAGTACGTCGGTAGCCGTGTTCTGCCATGAACTGCCTCACGAGCTGGGTAAGACGAAACAGCCTAACCAATACTTACAGCTATCACTTTAACCTGAGGTGGACACTTTTGATGTTGAATGAACACCCCCTCTTTTTTAACAGTAGCTGTCAAAACTGCTTTCAAAGGTGTGTTTTTCCCCAATTGCATCAAAATGACTGGGCTTATTCATGTTTCTCTCCCTGTGGCAGTAGGACTTGCAATTTGAAAGCGCCTTGAGGAATGTTTTTTTTCTCTCATCGAACGCAAAACAAAAGCTGACCAATATAAAAGTTTACAACTATTGGGATTGTCTGATTTTGCTCTTCGTAAAAGTAAATGTGGACAGCTTTAGCATCTTGAAAGTGCGCCTAGGCAGAAATATTTGTTCATGTTCCATGTTTTTGGGGTTTGGCAACAATTGAACGTTGGTACAGTGCCACTGCTTAAGGAATATCTAAAAAGCACTGCCTAGGCCCTCCCCCAGTGCACTGCTCTCATTGAATTGCTGCATTTTTTTGTATCCAACTTTTCTCTGGTCCGTGTGTCCTAAAGCCATGCATCCTTCCTCCCCCATAGGTGACTTTGCTGTGCTGCTGAAGGCCGGCATGACAGTGCGGCAGGCCATTCTTTACAACGTGCTGTCTGCCATGATGGCATACCTGGGCATGATCACGGGCATCCTCATCGGGCACTACGCTGACAACATCTGCATGTGGATCTTCGCCCTCACCGCCGGGCTCTTCATGTATGTCGCCCTGGTGGACATGGTAAGTCCATGATTTTAACATTATTAACGTACATGTCTGTGTACTCGCAGGTTCTTGAAAGGACATTGTAATGAAGATGGTGTAGCCTTGTAAATGAAAGCATTATTGGCCATACTTTTTCAATGTTTTGCACAGGCCATGTTAATATTCAGTAGGGGTGTAACAGTACACATATTCGTACCGAACCGTTCATACTGGGACCTCTGTACATACATTTAGTTTTTTATAAAAACATTAGGCCTACGCTGCGTTGTATGCCTCTTGAGTAAATCGGAGCTGAAAAAACATTTCTGGCTATTCCGTTAAAACAACTAGAGCCTATGCTCACGTTGTAATCAAAATTCTGATCTTAATTGGCTGCGTTTAAAACGGTCCTTTTGTGAGGCGCAGCCGGGAACTAGTTACAGTGGTGGAAAAAGTACCTAACTGTCATACTTGAGTAAAAGTAAAGATACCTTAATAGAAAATGACTCAAGTGAAAGTCACCCAGTAAAATACTACTTGAGTAAAATTCTAAAAGTATTTGGTTTTAAATATACTTAAGTATCAAAATGAATCATTTCAAATTCCTTAAATTAAGCAAACAAGACGGCACAGTTTTTATTTATTTACGGATAGCCAGGGGTACACTCCAACACTCAGACATCATTTACAAACGAAGCATTTATGTTTAGTGAGTCCGCCAGATCAGAGGCAGTAGGGATGACTAGGGATGTTATATTGATAAGTGCGTGAATTGGAAAATGTTCTGTCCTGCTAAGCTTTACAAATGTAACGAGTACTTTCTGAGTGTCAGAGAAAATGTATGGAGTAAAAAGTACATTATTTTCTTTAGGAATGTAGTGAAGTAAAAGTTGTCAAATATAAATAGTAAAGTACAGATACCCCCAAAAACTACTTAAGTAGTACTTTAAATGTATTTTTACTTAAGTACTTTACACCACTGACTAGTCATGTACGATGGTGAGTGGTGGGGTCGATAAACCTGGAGGATTCTCCATCCTCGTTGAAATCTCCAGTTTGGGAACGATTTGGCTTCCCAGTAGATTACAACGGTGATGGACAGAGTATGTTGCCACTGCTCAACGAGAATAGCCTATTCAGCAGCCAACACCTCACGTTTCCACATTACTACCACCGGAGCAAAACGGAAAAGGGAGAAAAAAAAGAAACTTTGTCTCCCCTCTGCATTCAAGCAGCCCTTCGCAGCTGATTCTCACCGGGCCAAAGATATTACAAGAGCGATAGGTATGTTTATAACCGCGGATATGCGCCCATTCTTAGGTGGTTGAGAAGAATAGTGGGTTTCAGCACCTCGTGAAAGTTCTTGAGCAACGTAACAAACTTTGCCCTCTCGTACCCATTTCAGTGAACCGGTAGTACCCGCTATATACTGCATAAACAAGCTAAAGCCGACGACGTCAATGAATTGGCCAATGCACCCTGTGTTGAGCTTACTACAGATGGATGGACCTCCGGGGCTAGCGAGCTACTTGCAGTGCCTTTGGAAAGTTTTCAGACCCATTGACTTTTCCACATTTTGTTATGTTACAGCCTTATTCTAAAATTGATTTAAAATAATAATAATAATCTCAGCAATCTACACACAATACCCCGTAATGACAAAGCGAAAACAGTTTTTTAGAAAGTTTAGCAAATGTATAAAAAATTAAAAACATAAATACCTTATTACATAAGTATTCAGACCCTTTGCTATGAAACTTGAAATTGAGCTCAGGTGCATCCTGTTTCCACTGATCATCCTTTAGATGTTTCTACAACTTGATTGGAGTCCACCTGTGGTAAATTCAATTGATTGGACATGGTTTAGAAAGGCACACACCTGTCTATATAAGGTCCCACAGTTGACAGTGCATGTCAGAACAAGAACCAAGCTATGAGGTCAAAGGAATTGTCCATAGACCTCCGAGACAGGATTATGTCGAGGCACAGATCTGGGGAAGGGTCCAAAACATTTATGCAGTATTGAAGGTCCCCAAGAACACAGTGGCCTCCATCATTCTTAAATGGAAGAAGTTTGGAACCATCAAGACTCTTCCTATAGATGGCTGCCTGGCCAAACTGAGCAATCGGGGGAGAAGGGCCTTGGTCAGGGAGGTGACCAAAAACCAGATGGTCACTCTGGCAGAGCTCCAGAGTTCCTCTGTGGAGATGGGAGAACCTTCCAGAAGGACAGTCATCTCTGCAGCACTCCACCAATCAGGCCTTTATGGTAGAGTGGCCAGATGGAAGCCACTCCTCAGTAAAAGGCACATGACCGCTCACTGGGAGTTTGCCAAAAGGCACCTAAAGACTCTCAGACCATGAGAAGCAAGATTCTCTGGTCTGATGAAACCAAGATTGAACTCTTTGGCCTGAATGCCAAGCGTCCCATCTGGAGGAAACCTGGCACCATCCCTACGGTGAAGCATGGTGGTAGCATCATGCTGTGGGGATGTTTTTCAGCGGCAGGGCCTGGGAGACTAGTCAGGATCGAGGGAAAGCTGAACGGAGCAAAGTACAGAGAGATCCTTGATGAAAACCTGCTCCAGAGTGCTCCGGACCTCAGACTGGGATGAAGGTTCACCTTCCAACAGGATAATGACCCTAAGCTCACAGCCAAGACAACGCAGGAGTGTCTTCGGGACAAGTCTCTGAATATCCTGGACTTGAACCCAATTGAACATCTCTGGAGAGTCCTGAAAATAGCTGTGCAGCGACGCTCCCCATCCAACCTGAGCTTGAGAGGATCTGCAGAGAAGAATGGAAGAAACTCCCCAAATACAGGTGTGCCAAGCTTGTAGCGTCATACCCAAGAAGACTCAATGCTGTAATCGCTGCCAAAGGTGCTTCAAGAAAGTACTGAGTAAAGGGTCTGAATACTTATGTAAATGTGATATTTCAGCTTTTTAAAATTTTTATAAATTAGGAAAATGTCTAAACCTGTTTTTGCTTTGTCATTATGGGGTATTGTTTTGTAGATGATGAGGGGAAAAAACTGTTTATAAAATTTTAGAATAAGGCTGTAACGTAACAAAATGTGGAAAAAGTCAAAGGGGTCTGAATACTTTCCAAAGGCACTGCAAGTGACATCAAATTACATCACATTATACCCGAGGGGGAAATGAGAAGTACTGTGCCACACACCCTTTATCAAAGTCACACAAGTGCGCATATTTTTCTCTTTCTAAGAAAACATTATAGAATAGGCCTATACAATCTCTGAGCCATGTTTAGATATTGATTTCACACACATTGCACTTTGTTTCAGTGTTGTTGAGTAATCGTGTGTTTTTCATTTAAGAAAATACAAAGTGTTGGTATACCTGATTGTTCCCTCATCAGGCATTATGATAATGCATGGAATCAGGAATACCAACACTTTGCATTTTCTTAAATAAACAAAAATATAGTACAGTAACTGTTGACATTTCATTTTCGCGCTAAACGGAAACCATGACCCCAAAACCGCAATGCGTACCGCCCCATGGGTTTGGTGAACCGTTACACCCCTAATATTCAGGCCATACAACAGTGTTTTTAGCAGCAGTCAGTTGTCCTCCAACCAACAGAGCAACATTGAGTTTGTTTACCAACAGTCAGCACCATCTGTTATGCTGGTGCAGCTGGACTTGTCAAAAATACCCATCCCACGAAGTCAAACAGAATTGTACTTTTGCTTAGCTTTTTGCTTATCTTGCTGATAAGTGGCCCTCTGAACCATATGGCCTCTTCACACACACACACACACACACACACACACACACAAAGTGAGAGAAGCAAGTAGGGACTGGAGCTGTCACAGGCAGCTGACTGTTGTACAACCCAGCTAAGTCCCCTCAAGTCTGACCTCTTGTGGCCATGTTAAATGTATGCGATGTCTTCCAAAGCTACAGTGCCTTCGGAAAGTATTCAGACCCCTTTGACTTTTTCCACATTTTGTTACGTTACAGCCTTATTCTAAAATGGATCAAATGTGTTTTTTCCCTCAGCAATCGACACACAATAACCCAAAATGGCACAGCGAAAGCAGGCTTTTAGGAACTTTTGCAAATGTATTAAAAATAAAAAACAGAGACCTTATTTACATAATTATTCAGACCCTTTGCTATAAGACTCCAAATTGAGCTCAGGTGCATCCTGTTTCCATTGATCATCCTTGAGATGTTTTTACAACTTGATTGGCGTTCACCTGTGGTAAATTCAATTGATTGGACATGATTTGGAAAGGCTCACACCTGTCTATATAAGGTCCCACAGTTGACAGTGCATGTCAGAGCAAAATCTCTGGAGAGACCTGAAAATAGCTTTGCAGCGATGCTCCCCATCCAACCTGACAGCTTGAGAGGATCTGCAGAGAAGAATGGGAAAGTCTCCCCAAATACAGGTGTGCCAAGCTTGTAGCGTCATACCCAAGAAAACTCTAGGCTTTAATTGCTGCCAAAGGTGCTTCAAGAAAATACTGAGTAAAGGGTCTGAATACTTATGTAAATGTAATATTTCAGTTTTTGGTTTGTCATTATGGGGTATTGATTGATGAGGGAAAAAAACAATTTAATCCATTTTAAGAATAAGGCTGTAATGTGACAATGTGGAAAAAGTCAAGGGGTCTGAACACTTTCCAATAGCAATTTCTCGATCAGGAATACAATAAAGGTGCGTCTGTGATTGGAGGCTTCTGTTACCACAAATTTACATTTACAAGCGGCTGAGTGGCATTTCAAAATATTTCAAAAATACGGATCTCTTGTGATATGGATATTACACGTCAATATCGCAATTTCGATATCAATTCGATAAATCGTGTAGCCCTACCATCATGCATTTTAAAAGCATAGGGTTGGTGTAATTATTGGATGGAGAGCGTTTCCACCGTTGTTAAATCCATTAAATAAAGTGTAAAATTGCATACTTAGGGGAAGGGCGGAGAATGGGGATGCAGGATTAGCATGTTTACTTGATTCTATGCCTTGAATTAGAAGCTGCTTTCCCAGATAACTTCCATTCAGTACAAACCAGTGTTTGACGTTTCACAGGTCCCGGAGATGCTCCACAACGATGCTGGGGACCATGGCTTCAGCCATTGCGGCTTCTTCCTGCTCCAGAACGCAGGCATCCTTTTGGGCTTCTGCATCATGCTGCTCATCGCCATCTTTGAACACAAAATCCAACTGGAAATAGACCTCTAAACGGTTGGATCTCAAACCTGGTCTCCAAGGACCCCTGTGTTTGCAGGTTTGAATCCAAACCGAACTTGGTACTGGGAGAAGGAATAGATGAATCGAACATGGTTAGTTGATTAGAACAGAATGTAGCCTTCAGTTTGATTGTAAGCCCACATGCACAGGCATCCTTGGAAGACCAGCAGTGTTGAGAAACACTCCTCGAACTGACAGGACCAAGCGCCGTGTGTCTCAGCTGCCAAGTGGCCACATCACGAGTCAGCCATTACTGTGTCTTTCCCTCTCATCTCCTCTCCTCCAAGAAGTGAAAAATAATAATGGTAATGATTAGTGTGACCATTTCTTTTTGGTCAAGATTCACCTGTTGCAAAATGTCAATTGGCATGTATTCTGTATGTGTGTTATGTTTGTCAAACCTTTTGGTGTTGCATAGCTGTCTGTCTTCCCTCAGTGTGCTTCATGTTTTATTTCTGGTCAAGATTTACAGTAAAAAAAAAAAATAGAGGACCACGTTTTGTTGACGGGATGTTTGGAAAAAACAAGCTTTATTTGTGGGCGTCAGAACAAGGGCCAATCCTTTTTATTTGGTTTATTTCAAACCCTTATGTCACATTCCTGAGACAAGTGAAAGCTCATTGATTGGGGAGGGCAATTGGGCAAGGAGGCTTCATGCCCAATTTCTGGGCACTGTTGCACAAGTTGTGACTTTAAACATTATAAATCTGCCAGTCGCCTTGAGCTTGTTTTAATCCCAACCTAACCCACCTCCTTGGTAACAGTGCACCACGTCTTTAACTGCCCAATCAAAACTAATCAAGCCAATTTAAGGGCAGTTAATTTCACTATGCCTCTGGAATTGTATGCATAGTGTTATGCTCGGTGGGGGGAAAGAACTTAATCGGTCTTTGAAGTCTGTTACATTGTCCTCACAGAGGAAACTTGGTTGTAAATGTGTTGTAAATTATCCTTGATTTGAAGAGACTGCAGAGCTATTGCAGATGTACTGTATCTGACAATTAACACTGTGTTGAGCATTTCCTCCCCATGAAAATAGTCTATTAGAGAAAAAAGGCTCCAAATCTCTATCCCAAAGTTTGTTCATTTAGCCAGTGTCAGTAGGATATCCAGTCATGGGACTAGATAGATACATATCTATCACAGATTGTGATTTGGAGGCCTTTTTGCGATCTGATACATGAATGAATTTTATCTTCACTGAGTTATTATAGTGGTAACTCAAAGGTCCTATGATGAATGTGTGATCTATGTGTTCAGAATGAAGCCACTCAAAGTGGTATTATGTTTTTAAGTTATCGTGCCAATATCTCATCTCGCTGTGTTTGAAAAGATAGCCAAACCTTTGTGGTCAGGAACAATTCATGTTTTCATGTGTTTCACACACTGTTTAGGAAGAAGTACATCATGAAGGGAACCATTTTTGTATGCCATCATTTGACTGTTGTGTACTTCAGGCAGCTTTGGATGTAATATGTGTTACTTTACATTCCAGAAGAAAATAAAAATTAATGCCTACCACCTCTTTGGCCTCACTGGATAAGTAGAGTATGACTGCACCCACAAGAATGTAACGTCAACATTGAAAAGCCTTTCGATCTGGAAGTTAAAGGTAGTTATGCTGCTAATCTGACATTGAAATCAATTGACAGAGCACCACTGAATAGGGTTGGGCAGTATTCAGATTTTCATACTGTTTCTGTACCATACCGGGTTATACGGTATTACCAGAAGTGCACACAAGGACTTGGGGGGGACTGCACAAAACAATTTAGGCAACAGGGATCTTGATCCAGGGGGGGGATTGAATGTCTGCTGTAACCAAGAAGCTTGATCTTGACACTTAGTTAGCAAACCAAATGCATTAACTGGAGCCCTGAGCTGGATATCATTTATTTGACACATCTTAAATTTCTTTGATTTTATAATTATACTTTAATCGCCCAAGCCTATCACTGAACATTGCTTCCAGAGGAAATTTGTTTTGAGTTTAGTCATTTAACTACTACCTCTTGGTGACCACTGGATGGCAGTCTAAATCCATTTACCGGTAGCAGATTAATTATTACTGAAACAGGATATAAGTGGGAAATATAAAGATCCACTCCATTAAAAAAATTCGAGGCCCCTTACACTGATGCAAAAAAATCTAACAAAATGTATAGCGCATAGAATTAAAAAGGTATTGTCGGACATTATTCATTCTAATCAGACAAGTTTTTACATGGACGATACATTGGAGATAATATAAGGCAAGTACTGGAAACAATAGAACACTGAAAAATCTGGGAAACCAGGCCTGCTATGCATTAGCTGACTTTGAAAAGGCGTTTGATAAAGTACGACTGGGGTTTATAAAAATAAATTTTTACATTACCTTGTAGTTTACCAATAAAATGGTCTGATGGTGATGTGGATATACTCTGAATACATATCCCAAAATAAATAAATGATCTCACTCCAATACATTTTAATAGAAAGTTAGCAAAAATAAGATCTTGCTACCATGGAAAGGTAAATACCTGTCTATTTGTGGAGAAATCACCCTGATTAACTCTTTAGTATTATCCCAGTTTACCTATTTGCTTATGGTCTTGCCTACGCCTAGCGAACAGTTGTTTAAATTATATGAGAAAAACATATTCCATTTTATTTGGAACGGCAAGCCAGACAAAATTAAACGGGCCTATTTATATAATGAATATGAATTCGGAGGACATAAATGATTAAATATTAAAGCATTAGACCTATCACTAAAAGCTTCAGTCACACAAAAAGTTATACTTAAATCCAAACTGGTTCTCTAGCAAATTAGTAAGATTGTCTCACCCCATGTTCAAGAATGGCCTTTTTCCCTTTATTCAGATTACAAACTCTCACTTTAAGTTATTTGAAAAGGAAATCATCTCCCAAATATCACTATTTCTAAAACAAGCCATAGAAAGTTGGTTGCAATTTCAATGTAATCCTCCAGAAACAACAGAACAAATAATGCAACAAATATTTTGGTTATTATTTTTTGATTAAAAAAAAAAAAAAGGTATCATCTTCATAAATTAAATCATAGGTAGAACTGGTGGAGTTATGTCGCACATGCAGCTAACAAAAACATATGGAAATGTCTGCTCTACCCAAAATTACAACCAAATAATTGCAGCATTACCGCAAAAATGGAGGAGGAAAGTGGAAGTGGGAAAAAGTAAGGAACTTGTCTGTCGGCCCTGCATTAAAGACCATAATTGGTTAAAGAAAATTGTGATAAATAAGAAAGTATACCAGTTTCATTTAAGGACCAAAGGATTGACAGCCGTCCCATATAGATTGCAAAATAGTTGGGAAGAGATTTTTGACGTATCGATTCCATGACAAATGGTTTATGAACTGATACGCAAAACGACACCGGATTCAAAACTTAGAATTTTTCAATTTAAATTATTATACAAAATTCTTGCAACCAATAGAATGTTATTTATATGGGGGATACAACCTTCCCAGCTCTGCAGATTTTGCTGTGAAGAGACAGAATCATTAGATCATTTGTTTTGATACTGTCCATTTGTAGCTTGTTTTTGGTCACAGGTTCAGGAATGGCTGAAGGATTGCAATATTTACCTGGAGCTAACCCTGCAGAAAGCACTACTCGGTGATCTGAAAAGTCATTGTCAATCGATCTATAATATAATAATACTTTTAGCAAAAATGTTTATTTTCAATTTACAATCTGTAGAAACAATGAGAATAGAAGGGTTCAGAACTTTTATGAAACATCACAGTACAGTTGAGAAATATATGGCAAGTAGAAATCCAATATGGATGGTGTTAAGAGATAGATGGGAGGGGTTGAATGGAGCTGAAGGTTGGGACTAATAACAACTAATAACAACAAAATAACTAATGTAAATCATACTGTGTCCATAATAAGTATATAGGTTGAGAACTTTTGTGAAAGAGAACAGTTTGGGGGATATGGCATGTAGAGGCAAACCGGATGGTTTGAAAATGATCAGAGAGGTTGAGGGTAGAGGAAGTTCAGGAGTAAAAACAAACAAAATAGAATTATTGTAAAATTGACTGTGTCCATAAAATGTATATAGTATGTATAAGCTGGAAGTAGAGGCCTAAGTGTTGTTGTTCACTAGTTTACTCCAATTAGTGGAGGGGTGGTGGGGTTGGAAAGTAATAAAGGAAAATACATTTTTTAAAAGGATATGTGTATATACAGTGAGGAGAACAAGTATTTGATACACTGCCGATTTTGCAGGTTTTCCTACTTACAAAGCATGTAGAGTGTAATTTTTATCATAGGTGAGAGACGGAATCTAAAACAAAAATCCAGAAAATCACATTGTATGATTTTTAAGTAATTAATTTGCTTTTTATTGCATGACATAAGTATTTGATCACCTACCAACCAGTAAGAATTCCGGCTCTCACAGACCTGTTAGTTTTTCTTTAAGAAGCCCCCCTGTTCTCCACTCATTACCTGTATTAACTGCACCTGTTTGAACTCATTACCTGTATAAAAGACACCTGTCCACACACTCAATCAAACAGACTCCAACCTCTCCACAATGGCCAAGACCAGAGAGCTGTGTAAGGACATCATGGATAAAATTGTAGACCTGCACAAGGCTGGGATGGGCTACAGAACAATAGGCAAGCAGCTTGGTGAGAAGGCAACAACTGTTGGCGCAATTATTAGAAAATGGAAGAAGTTCAAGATGACGGTCAATCACCATCGATCTGGGGCTCCATGCAAGATCTCACCTCGTGGGACATCAATGATCATGAGGAAGGTGAGGGATCAGCCCAGAACTACACGGCAGGACTTGGTCAATGACCTGAAGAGAGCTGGGACCACAGTCTCAAAGAAAACCATTAGTAACACACTACGCCGTCATGGATTAAAATCGTGCAGCGAACGCAAGGTCCCCCTGCTCAAGCCAGCGCATGTCCAGGCCCGTCTGAAGTTTGCCAATGACCATCTGGATGATCCAGAGGAGGAATGGGAGAAGGTCATGTGGTCTGATGAGACAAAAATAGAGCTTTTTGGTCTAAACTCCACTCGCCGTGTTTGGAGGAAGAAGAAGGATGAGTACAACCCCAAGAACACCATCCCAACCGTGAAGCCTGGAGGTGGAAACATCATTCTTTGGGGATGCTTTTCTGCAAAGGGGACAGGATGACTGCACCGTATTGAGGGGAGGATGCAAGCCGCCTCCTTTTTCTCCAAATATAACGATGGTCATTATGGCCAAACAGTTCTATTTTTGTTTCATCAGACCAGAGGACATTTCTCCAAAAAGTACGATATTTTTGTCCCCATGTGCAGTTGCAAACCGTAGTTATGGAGGTTTTGGAGCAGTGGCTTCTTCCTTGCTGGGCGGCCTTTCAGGTTATGTCGATATAGGAGTCGTTTTACTGTGGATATAAGTACTTTTGTACCTGTTTCCTCCAGCATCTTCACAAGGTCCTTTGCTGTTGTTCTGGGATTGATTTGCACTTTTCGCAACAAAGTACGTTAATCTCTAGGAGACAGAATGCGTCTCCTTCCTGAGCGGTATGACGGCTGGGTGGTCTCATGGTGTTTATACTTGCGTACTATTGTTTGTACAGATGAACGTGGTACCTTGAGGCGTTTAGAAATTGCTCCCATGGATGAACTAGACTTGTGGAGGTCTACCATTTTTTTCTGAGGTCTTGGCTGATTTCTTTTGAGTTTGAAGGTAGGCCTTGAAATACATCCACAGGTACACCTCCAATTGACTCAAATGATGTCAATTAGCCTATCAGAAGCTTCTAAAGCCATGACATCATTTTCTGGAATTTTCCAAGCTGTTTAAAGGCACAGTCAACTTAGTGTATGTAAACTTCTGACCCACTGGAATTGTGATACAGTGAATTATAAGTGAAATAATCTGTCCATAAACAATTGTTGGAAAAATGACTTGTGTCATGCACAAAGTAGATGTCCTAACCGACTTGCCAAAACTATAGTTTGTTAACAAGAAATTTGTGGAGTGGTTAAAAAACGAGTTTTAATTACCCCAACCTAAGTGTATGTAAACTTCCGACTTCAACTGTATTTATCCTTGAGCAATATAGATGGTGTTGTCATTCGTTAACATACATTGCGGAAAATTCTGAGTTCTCTAAGGCTCTACAGACGGAAAAAACAATCGGACCTCCTCGACATAGCATTATTCTTTCTTCATAAACTGGGCTGACTTGAAGGTTCATGGATACAAACTAATGCATCCAAGCGGGATACTGTATGTGGTGACCCAAAACAGTCAGGCGTTTACTTCATATTTTAGACCCCCATGGAGTGCCCGTTTGGGCGGAAGTCTCTGGGACCAAGACTAGCTAGCTAGCTAGCTAACGTTACCTTACCTTCACAAACAAGAAGTGGACATGGAGGAACAGCTTAGGTAAGAGTCCTTTTTGTCTTGTAATTTCACATTTGGAAGGTGCATTAAAACATTAGCTAACATGTTTATATAATTTCTAGCATAGCCAACTAGC